TGAAATAGACCTAATATCTGTCTTTGTTGTGTTTAGGCCTTAGTTGCCATTGGAGAAGTAAGCAAGCAGATATTCAAGCAAGATCCAGATTTCTTCCCAATAAAACCTATGGACTATGGCCGGTTTTTGGTCATTTCACTTGGCACAGGCTCATCAAAATTTGAAGAGAAGTACGATGCACAAAAGGCTAAATCATGGGGAGTGTTGGATTGGTTACTTAGCAGTGGATCTACACCATTAGTAGATATTTTCACACGGGCAAGTGCAGATATGGTGGATATTCACATTGCTTCTGTTTTCAAAGCCTTACATTCGGAGCAGAACTATCTGAGAATTCAAGTAAGTAAATGCAGGCACCTTATTTGTACTGTACAAAGTAACCAATAAATCAGCTTCCTTTTACTCAGAGAATACCATTTCTACATGACAGGATGATAACCTACGGGGGACACTCTCCTCAGTTGATGTTGCCACCAAGGATAACTTGGAGAAACTTGTCAATGTTGGAGAGATGCTGCTAAAGAAACCTGTCTCACGGGCAAATTTGGAGACTGGCCAAATGGTGCCTGCTTGCAGTGACATAGAGGAGACCAATGAGGAAGCACTCAAGAGGTGAGCTTGCGACCACCTATCAGGTTACTGTAATTACGGTATGCATCTACTTATGAGCTAATAAGCACCTTATTTCCAGATTTGCAAAGCTGTTGTCTGATGAAAAGCAAATTCGCCAAGCAAGATCGCCATAATGAAGTCCGGTCTCTTTTGTGTCAATGCTGTGCCAGAGATTTTTTTTCTCTGCATGGCATACACCAGTTAGCAATTAGTTGATTTGTTTGTTGAAGTTTCACTGTAATGTAGTTAAATAAATATGTAGTGAGGCTTACTGACTGATATAGCTTGATAATGTTAGGCGCCGATGGCTTTATTGATATGTAAATACAAATGTTCTTTTAAATAAAACTAAGCATTTAATTAGTGTTCTGTTGTGTTATCAATTCCACTGGTTTTATGTCAGCCGATGAGTTCTGAAGGATTTCAGGCCGACCATGCGGCGGGACATTCGGAACAAAGAGATAGCCGCCGCTGCTGCATGGAACAAGTACCTGGTACGATATCTCTTCGCTTTGTACGTAGAAATAGTTAAACCTATCTCTGCTTTGGGTAATGAGTATCAAGCAAGTGAGATGCCTTTTGAAGAAGAACGCTTTACCCAACGCTTTACCCTTTAGTACTACTTGAGATACTGCTGTTGGGAATTGTCAAAGAGACATCTAATTCTTATAGGGTTTGCAGCATGGACAGACTGGATAAATAAATAGCAAAGCGCTTCACTAACTCAAAGCACTTCATTTTTATTGGAGCAGACGCTTTCCAGGGCAACAGGCTCTTCTGTGATTGAGTACCTTTTAGCTTAGTTTGAAAGTTCAAACTCATTACTACTTTTTCGCAATGCGCATTTTTTTTGTCTGTGAAATGCTGTAGTGGCACTATCTGTGATCCTGGTATACTAGTATACTCTGCCAAGTTGGATTTGTTAACATTGCAGCATCCAAGGGGCGACATCGTGGGCTGCAGGATGGCGGGAACTGAATATTTTGATATGGATACTATCGATACTATGGTGGGTAGCCTTTCAAAGCGGGTCTAAGCATGTGCTCTCGACCACTCAATCCCTAGATTGGTGATCTGTAACCATCGCCCATCAAATTTTGAGCACCAAAAGATCTGATCAACGACCAACAATGCGCAGTGTGAAGTAGGTATAACTGTCAACTTTTGCAAACACAAATTTTCCATCAGCACATAAATATAGCTATAGTTTTAAAGCCGAGACGATTGGGGATCTCAGAATCCAAGTGGATGGTAGCAAAATATGTTCAATTAAAGTAAACTCTTTGAGTCTTTGCTAGCCAGTCATCCGGGTTCCTTGGTTGGTGGTGCCACGATGCTTACATTAGATCGACCATAGGTTTTTTTGGGGAAAAGGCAAATCTGACAAGCATTTCTTCAAACCCCTAGACTTTTCATGTTAGCGGCCTGCGCCGCTTGAGTGCCCTAAACCGTTGATCTGAGCCGTTGCCCGTACACCATACATGAAATATATTTCTTCTCTAGTCATATGCTATATATGAAGTTAATGATTAAAAGGTGACCCCTCCTTCGTCTAGGGAGCCAGCTAATGTCCTTGGCTGGTCGAAAGCTGTGTCTCTCGATCGATGTGTGTCGAAGCAACGAAGATTCCCAGATTATGCCATGCAAACAATGCTGCCCTTTTCCAAGATCCTTGCAGTAAGTGTTTCTCAACTCTTAAGTGGGTTACTTTTCCTTTCTGATGATGGTAGTATTCACTCCATGAGAATCTAAGAACAAACAGACTGCATGCTCTGCATCTGTCCATGCATTAGCTCATTACTCTTCCTTTTTCGGAAGCACTAATCTTCCATAGTCAAATGTGCACGTTTACAAGATGAACATTTAGTTTCTTGACTGGCAGAGGCATGTGAAAATCTTGGACTGACATGCATGGTGTTTGGTGCACCATGGCAATGGTGTACTTGACGGTTGCTTCTTCATGTGGCCTTTTGAGTTTTGTGGAGCCTTCAGATTGCACGGAGCTGGGCTGTCTACCTTTCTTCCTCCGTCCCAAAATAAGTGTCTCAAGTTTAGTGTACAAAGTTGAGACATTTATTTTGGGACGGAGGAAATACTCCCTCCGTCCGGAAATACTTGTCATCAAAATGAATAAAAGAAGATGTATGTAGATGTATTTTAGTTTTAAATATTTTTTTTATCTATTTTGATGACAAGTATTTTTGGATGAAGGAATACTTTGTATACCCTCAGATCTATACGATAATCTTGTCTGCATTTAAAATATTGCACGCCATATGAGAACAGAGCGCCGCTCTGTTGGTAAGCTGTGCGGGTGCGCACGCTTACCACCCAGCTTAGTGTCTCTTGGATCCAGCGGTTGCATTCTTCTACTATAAAAATATGCCGCCATGGGCTAGTGTCCTGGCTGGTCTCGTTCTTTCCTATAAATTGACGCCGGACGCAAACTTCTCAAGTCAAGCTAATAAGCCCGAGCAAGAGTAGCAGCAGCATACCAGTGTGCGCTGCCGCAAACCCTGTCTGTGCGTCCAGGTTTTAAGACCGCCTTAGTTGCTGGTTCTTGAGTTACATGGCGGGTTCCAAGCATGCCTCGTCGTGCACCTGCATTCTCATCATCTTGTTCGTGTCGAGCCACCTGGCGCCGTGCCTGTCATGGGGGTTCTTTTTTTTGGAACTCTTAGAGCTCTTTCTAGCCAGTCATGGGGGTTCCTTTTTTTTAACACAATACAGACGCAGACACTCATATACACGGAGCTGGCATATCATCTTGAAATTTACGAAGTCGCCGTAGGCATCTCGTCGTCGACAGAAACGTCTCCTTTTACTGAATGTGCATCGCCGGAAGTCCTGAAATAAATTCAAGAATAAATGCGAGCACCAAATTTGAACCTTAATGAGCTGCGGATATCACAATCCCTCTAACCATCTAACCACAGATTGATTCGCGTCATGGGGTTCCTTGGTTGGTTGTGCTACAATGCCTCACCTGATCGACCATAGGTTTTCTGGGGAAAAGGCAAATCTGACAAGCATTTCTTCAAGCCCCAAGACTTTTCATGTTAGTGGCCTGCACCGCTTGAGTGCCCTAAACCGTTGATCTGAGCCGTTCCCGTACACCGTACATGAAATATATTTCTTCTCTAGTCATATGCTATATATGAAGTTAATGATTAAAGGGTGACCCTTCCTTCGTCTGGGGAGCCAGCTGTAAGCATCAACAACTGCATATGACAAATATAACCCCCTTAAATGTCCATCTATGGGTAGTGACCGGACACTCTTCAAATTAACACAACTGCATCCGGACATCTTATATTAGATTCTCAAATCCATACAAAAGCATGCAAACCATAAAACCTACATACTACGTAGATGATCTAACTACTCGTCGGAGATGTCGACAATCTTCGTGCCCGGCTCCGGCAGCATCGACGGCAGTTGTAGCTTCGCCTCTTCCGGCGCCTCCGCGGCTTGGCGACGGTGAACGCCGCCTCCGCCTCCGACGTTTGAGGTGTCTGTTTGAGTCAGATTTTCATGACCGGTCAGTGAACGATCCGGCGTTTGAGACCGGTTTGAGGTGTGCTTGGCTGGTCGAAAGCTTTCTCTCTCGATCGATGCGTGTCCGAGCAACGAAGATTCCCAGATTCTGCGATGCAAACGATGCTGCCCTTTTCCGAGATCCTTGCAGTAAGTGTTTCTCAACTCTGAAAGTGGGTTATACTTTTCCTTTTCTGATGATGTTAGTTTTCCCTCCATAAGAATCCAAAAACAATTTGAGTTTAACAGACTGCATTCTCTGCATCTGTCCATGCATTAGCTCACCACTCTTCTTTCTTCTGAAGCACGAATCTCCCATAGTCAAATGCGCACGTTTACAAGATGATCATTTTGTTTCTTGACCGTGGCAGAGGCATGTGAAAATTTTGGACTCTGGTGAAAATGACATGCATGGTGTTTGGTGCACCATGCTTCTTCGTGTGGCCTCTTGTGTTTTGAGGAGCCTTCAGATTGCACGGAGCTGGGCTGCCTACCTTTTCTACGTACTTTGTATACCATAGTCTTGCCCGCACTTAAAATATTTGCACGCCATAAGAGAACAGAGCGCCGCTCTGTTGCCTGTTGGTATGCTGTGCCCGTGCGCACGCTTACCACCCAGCTTAGCGTCTCTTGATCCAGCGGTTGCATTCTTCTACTATAAAAATATGCCGCCATGGCTAATGTCCTTGCTGGTCTCGTTCTTTCCTATAAATTGACGCCGGACGCAAACCTCTCAAATCAAGCTAATAAGCCCGAGCAAGAGTAGCAGCAGCATACCAGTGTGCACTGCCGCAGACCCTGTCTGTGCGTCCAGGTCTTAAGGCCACCTTAGTTGCTGGTTCTTCAGTTACATGGCGGGTTCCAAGCATGTCTCGCCGTGCACCTGCATTCTGATCTTCTTGGTCGTGTCGAGCCACCTGGCGCCGTGCCCGTGCGAGGCGAGGAGGCTGATGGCGGCGTCGGCGAAGATCAACGGTGAGGCATGCATGTCGGCCGGGTGCCGCGCCGTGCAAGGTACTGCTGGTGGTACCGCGGCGGCTGCGACGTGGAAGATGGCAACCACCGACAGCCGTGGAACCGCGCCTGGGCACAGCCCCGGGATCGGCAACAAGCTGCACGTTGCAGGGACGATCGCCGTTAAGAGAAACTAAAAGCGCAACATGCTGGATGGGTACAGAGTTCTTGTTTATATGAATGAAATGATCTCTTGATTTGTTTGTATTCCTCGTTCATTGTATTCCATTTCATGTGTGATGTGTACATAGTTTCAGAAAGCGACGAAAAAACGTGTGACGTGTATTTCCTCTTCACTGGAATAAAGTTTGTGCATTGCCTTCTCTTCTTCGGAGTGCTACTGTGTTATTGTCTCGGCAACATAAGGGTGTGCCATCCTAGCGTGGTTGCCCGTGCCCCCCTCCCTAAGACATGCTGAGTGCTACTGTGTTATATATTGTCTCAACAACATAACGTGTGTTTGGTAACATTCCCGTCTTAGCGCGGTTGCCCCCCCCCCCCACCCCCCAACCCTCCTTAAAACATGCCGAGGGTAGAC